TTTGAGACAGAGTCTCACTTTGCTGCCCAGGCTAGAGTGAGTGCCATGGCATCAGCCCAGCTCACAGCAACCTCAAACTCCTGGGCTCAAGCAATCCTCCTGCCTCAGCCTCCCAAGTGGCTGGGACTACAGGCATGTGCCACTATGCCCGGCTAATTTTTTGTATATATATTTTTAGTTGGCCAATTAATTTCTTTCTATTTTTAGTAGAAATGGGGTCTCACTCAGGCTGGTTTCGACCTCCCGACCTAAAGCAATCCGCCCGCCCCAGCCTCCCAGAGTGCTAGGATTACAGGTGCGAGCCACCACGCCCGGCCAACAAGCCTTTTTCATGAACTCACCGCATCTACAAACTCTCTATCTTATAGGAAAAAGAGGTGGGGAGGGGTTTGTCCACCCTCGGAGCTAAAGGTCCCTGGCACACAGTGGGTGCCCAGAGGACGGCTCTTGAGAAGGGCGGGACTAGCACAGGACAAGCCCGGCCAAAGGTTTGGTGATTCTGATGCACACATGGCCGAATCAGGCTTTGGTGGGACCTCTTTGTTGTCATCTGACTTTTTGTCAGAAACTCTGGCTCAGGTAGAATTTAAAGAAGTTACAAATCTCTCCCACACCTCCGCCAGCTCAACAAATGAGGAGGTAAGAAATTCAAAGGCCAGGGGACAGGGCAGGTGGCCCAATCTTGCCAATTATGAGAATCTTGGCCGCCTGCCTAGGTGTACAAAGCAAATGAACACGTATTTTTTAATTTATTCACAGTCCATTAGGTAACATATAATACCACTCTACTGAAAGAATTTAAAGTCACATGCCTAGGGCCTTCTTATTTAGCCCGTCTCTCCTACGTTGCCATGCATCACCAAAAATATCTTCTGTAGATATTCATGGGACTAGATCTTGATTGTGTGTAAACAGAAATTTTCATTTGAGTCATAATTAGTCTCCAGATAATTAACTCATGAACTTGTGGCCAAGGTTCCTTTGTTAATAGCCTTAGATTGTACTAAATTTGAGCTTACATAAAGGGAATACGATTAAATTCGGTTAGGGGAAATGTTACTATTTGACACATACTTCTTAAACCAGTCTTACTTGATTTTACTATATATTTTGAACCAGTTGAACTTGATTTTTACTATTGTTTTGATTTGTCAAGGGCTGGATAAAAGGCTTTAAATTACTGCTGTCTTAATTTGCTGAGTTAGAGAAGTTCCTTGATTTGTTGCTTAGTTCCTTAAATAGCTTTTGTTAATCTAGCTCTTTTGATTTTCTCCATGAACATTCTATCACCACCTGATAATTATTTGGGGCTATGTTTTGGATCCAGCTGCTTATGAAGAAATGACTGAGAAGAAGCCAATTGGGCCAAATTTATTCTAGGAGGTGAGACTGAAATAAGAGTTGACTTAAGCATACAGCCAAAATGAAATCAGGCACACTGAAAATATACAAGGTGATGATGAAGTTTGCTGCTAAATTAAATATAAATCTGCAGCAAGCTGCATCTCTTTCAGAGTCAGCTAAGGGCCAGCTGGCAGCCTCTATAGTATCTTGTAGTGTGATAGATTTGCTCAAGACCTTGAGTTTAGCAGTCTTAACCCTTGATTCAAGTCATCCAAGGATCCTTTTTTTGAAATCCATGAATATAAGACATCAGATTCAGTTGTCAACACCAGCTGTGGCAGTCACTTGCTCTGTTTGTCTTTTTTGGTTGTTAAGTCCTTTATTAGAAAGTTGAGTTCACGTGATCTCATCTGGAATAAATCGGTATCTGAAGATGCTAAATGTCTTACTGCCAAGCCAGTTTTGAATACAGTCTGAACTGGAGAAAGGAGCCTTCATTGGGATGACGGCCAAGAAGCTAGTCAATTGTAGATGTAGCTTAAAGGGTCACTGGCTCACTTGCAAGAATGCTGGCAGCCTCGACATTTGCTGCGAATTCCTCTCATTAGTCAATTGTTTTTACATTTTTTTTTCCGCACTGGGAAACCCAAGAATGTCTCTTGCCTGAGTGTACCATTCTCAGCTGACCTCTCTTCCTGTGAGATGTCAGGAATGATGCCCTGCATCATCCCACATGAGTCAGAGGTCAGGAGGCAGGATGCCTTCCAAGTTCTTCGCATACAGCCACCACATTCCCTCCCTGTGACTCAGTCCACACTCTCCAAGGGCATATACAGCATGCCTTGAGAAGCACCTGAGGCTTAGACTCAAAAGTATCAGAAGCAGAAAGGATCCCAGATAGCCTGTCCAGTAGAGGAACTAGCCATCTGGATCACCTAGTACTGAGAAGTTTAGAACTTTCAGTGCTAGAACTGGGGATCCCAGGCAAACCGAAGCAGTTGGTGGCACGGTGCCTAACTATTCTGTATAGAAGAAACTGAGACCCAGGAGGCTCACTTGCCCAAGCTAACAAAATTTCGTCAGTGCCAGATTTAGGATTAGAATCTAATGGTGCTAGCTTTTAGTGCCCTTTCTGTGCCTGAACTTTCTTGTATTTCCACAGTGCTTTGCACACAATGGGTGCTTCCGTTTCTGTTGTCGTTTTTGAGTTCAAGAGATGTGCTTCTCACAGATAGGATCATTCTTTATTAGCAAGGGATCTCACTTAAGGTCATCATGAATCCATGGTGAAATCAGGTCGTTACTTCCAGACTCTGAACTGAACAGTGTGAACAAAGGGGAGGGAAGTTTCATGAGCAACAACAGAAGTGGTTAAGCAAACAGAAGGATTGTGCAAAGATGAAGAGACTTATGTATACAGTTTGACTGAGCAACACAGCAGCAGGGAACACAAAGAAATATGATATGGGTGTAAATACCAAAGAGAAGGAAGTATTTTTTTTCCTGTCTTCAGAGAAGGGGCATGGTAGAAAGAAAAGCTTTATACTTCTGACAGGGAAGAATGGTAACTGTGGAGACACACCCTCCCATGTGGTAATGACCATGTGATGAAAAATGATATCACCTGACATTCGTGGTTGTGTAGTTGTTTTTCAGGGTCTTCAAAAGAACCTAACTCCTAGCAGTATTTTTCATCCTCCTAGATCTGAGATCTGTCTTGTTTTCCTTGCCAGTTTTCTCCCATAGATACTGAGTTTTTCATAAAGTAGTACAAATTACTAGGGATCATTAGTCTGTTATGCATAGATTTTTATGATTACTTAACTAAACACTGCTGTATTTTTTCAATACTGCAATCTTCTCACCTACAAAAGGCACTGATGCTATATGTATGAGGGAACAGACAAAACATTAGGAATGTGACTGGCTGAGGATTAAGACTGGAGACTCTCCAAGATGAAGGTGCCAGCCAAAGAAAAGAAAAAAAAAGACAGGAGATGGTTGAGTGCGGTGGCTCACGCCTGTAATCCTAGCACTCCGGGAGGTCGAGATGGGAGGATCCCTTGAGCTCAGAAGTTTGAGACCAGCCTGAACAAGAGTAAGACCCCCAACTCTACTAAACACATTTTTAAAAAAATTAGCCGGGCATGGTGATACATGCCTGTAGTCCCAGCTACTCAGGAGGCTGAGGCAGGAGGATCGCTTGAGTCCAGGAGTTTGAGGTTGCTGTGAGCTAGGCTGATGCCAAGGCACTCTAACCCAGGTGACAGAGTGAGACTGTGTCTCAAAAACAAACAAACAAATATATATATATATATATATATATATATATATATATATATATATATATATATTTAAAAAAGACTGGAGACTATTGGAAACAAAGGTCCAGAAACAACCTTATTTATTGTGGCCATCTTCAGCAACTCATGTGTGGAATAATACTTGATTTGGTACTTCATTTGGCACTTGATTCCTTTTATCTGGGATGGAGCCCAAGGAAGTCCTGGACAGGGAGCAGCATAAATAAAATGGAGGTGACTAAGGTGTTTTGACACTTAGGATGAGTGTCACTACCAAAATGGAAGGTAGGTGCCTACTTTTCTATCCCACCACACCTTTTCCTGCTGGTGACCTGAGACATGGTTGCCTGTTCTTCTGACTAATCCCTAAAAACACAAGTAAACAGAAGCTGAGTTGACCTACTTTGCAAATACCTGTTACAGTGCTAATCAGCAAACTTAGTTGTAATGTGGCCTCACAGCTGTTCTGTTTTAGGCTGAAGGCCAGATTGGAAGCTGATTTTAGGATGGTACTTAAAATGGGCTTGTGGCCACCTATCAGAAACATGTAAATTATTAGCTGGGTGTGGTGTGTGGCGGCGTGCACCTGTAGTTCCAGCTATCCAGGAGGCTGAGGCAGGGGTATTTCTTGAGCCCAGGAGTTTAAGGCTGTAGTGGGCCATGATAGTGCCTATGAATAAACACTGTACCCTAGCCTGAGCAACATAGCTGGACTCTGATCTTAAAAAAACAAAAAAAGCAAATTATTGGACCTTACCCCAATGAGTCAACATTCTTTTTTTTGTTTTTAATAAACTTTAAAATTTAGAATAGTTTTAAATTTACAGAAAAACTGTGAAGAGAGTACATAGTTCCCATATACCACACACTCAATTTCTTTTTTTCTTTTTTTCTTTTTTTTTTTTTTGTGAGACAGAGTCTCACTCTGTTGCTGGGCTAGAATGCTGTGGCATCAGCCTAGTTCATAGCTACCTCAAACTCCTGGGCTCAAGCGATCCTTCTACCTCAGTCTCCCGAGTAGCAGGGACTACAAGCATGTGCCACCATGCCTGGCTAATTTTTTAAAAAATATTTTTAGTAGAGATGGGGATCTCCCTCTTGCTCAGGCTGGTCTCAAACTCTTGAGGTCAAATGATCCATCCACCTCGGCCTCCCAGAGTGCTAGGATTACAGGCATGAGCCACAGCGCCCAGCCCTATTCTATTATTAACATCTTACAATAGTATGGTATATTTGTCACAACTATTAAACTAGTATTGATACTTTATCGTTAACAAAAAGTGAGCAATAAAAAAAATTCATACTGTATTCATATTTTCTTCGTTTTTACCTAATTTTATTTTTCTGTTCCAGGAATACATCCAGGATACCATGTTTCATTCAATCATCATGTCTCTGTAGCCTTCTCTTGGTTGTGACAGTTCTTCAGACTTTTTGTTTTTGATGACCTTGACAGTTTTGAAGAGTACCAGGTCAGGTATTTTATAGAATGCTCTTCAACTTGTATTTGCCTGATGTTTTTCTCATGATTAGACTGGGCTTATGGGCTTTTGGGAAGAAGACCACAAAGGTCATGTGCCATTCTTGTCACATAACAAGAGTATACACTATCAATATGATTTATCACTGCTGTTAGTCTCGATTGCCTGGCTAGGGTAGTGTTTGTCATTTCCCCCACTGTATTCTTTTTTCCTCCACTTTCCATGTTTTCTTTGGAAGGAAATCACTATGTGCAACCTACACTTAAGGGTTGGGGAGTTAAGTTTTGCCTCCTTGATAACAGAATATTTACATAAATTATTTGAAATTCTTCTGCATGGGAGATGTATCCATTTTCCTTCATTTATTCAATCATTTATTTATATCAGTATACACTTATAGACATTTATTTTATACTCTGGGTTATAATCCAGTACTAAAATTGTTGCAGCTTTGGCCATTGGTAGCTCCTTTTTTTTTAATTTTTTTAATTTTTCTTTTATATTTTTTTTCTTTTTTTTGCCTCTAAGGGGAATTAATACAGTTGCGAATTGGTAGCTCTTTGACTTGGCCCTGGTGTCTGTTCAGTTGATATATCCCCATAGTTTGTTTGTTTTTAACATTCTTTACTTTCTGGCATTTAATTTTTTCTTTCAGGCACTTGTTTTTTATTTCCTGGAACTTTCTTTTTTAAAAACAAGCTTTTCTGATGTTTCCCAGGCACCCTACACTTAAACAGGTATTGACAGGAAAGAATTTCCTATCTTTGAGATCGTAAGAGTCACATGGGGCTCTTATCTCATGCTTCTTCTCTGAAGATTCATTTAGTAGTTATGGAGTGAGGTGATCCCCAAAGATCTGGATTTTATAATAAGTATCTCCAGATGATTCTTATAATCTGGTAAGATTGGTAAACAGAGCCTTAAGGTAATCTTAATTATGACTTCTGAGTAAGGCTTAATTTAGATAGATAACTATAATCCATAATATTGGAAGAATGAGTCTTTTTTTTCTTTTGAGACTGAGTTTCGCTTTGCTTTGACACAGGCAATGAGGCCTGGGACAGCCTACTCACACACCCACTCCTGGGCTAAGCAATCCTACTTCCTCAGCCCAAGTAGTGGATACAGGCATTGTGCCACCATGCTGCAATTTTTTCTATATATATTAGTTGGCAATAATTTCTTTTATTTATATAGAGAGCTCGCTCTGCTCAGCGTTGGATCTGACCTCGCGCAATCGTCGCACTCAGCTCGCGCGCGAGCTAGAACAGCGGACACCGCGCCAGCCTGGAAGATAGCGTCTTCATAGGGGTCCATCTTGTCATTAAATCTCAATTTAACCTCATTATTAAAACCATAGAAGTGGAAAACCTTTGTAGATAGGGAGGAACCAGATACGTTACAGGCTTCCCTAGAAATCACACAGTGGTGGAGCACTTATACATGGCAATAGAGAAGAAAAGCACAACAATCTCTTGTTTGGAAGTCTGAAACTAGCCTTATTAGGGCGGCATCCGTGGGCTCACACTGTAATCTCCTAGCATGTCTTGGAGGCTGAGGTGACAGATCGTTTGCTCAGGATTCAGACCTCAGCTTGAACCAAGGGGATGAGACCTGTCTCTACAAAAAAAGAAAAAATTAGCTGGAAACTTAAAATATATAACGTACTAGTATAGCCTAAATTCCAGAGGCATGTGGTGCATCTGTACCCCAGCTACACAGAGGCCTGACGCAAGCTCGCTTAGCAATAGTTTGTTCTGCTGAGCAGCTAGATCACAGCATCTACCCCGGGTGACATATGAGAGTCTTGTCTCAAACAAAAAAAGAGAAAGAAAAGAATACTATTAAGTAAGATAACTAGGTGGTTATAGTCGCTGATAGACTGACCCTGAGGCATAAAGTTTATACATCTAACGATTCCACAAAGCACACTTCTAACCTTTTATTCCCTCCAGCTGACCCTCCCGCTCCCATTAATTTTTGACACAACTACCATGCCAATTCGGCCTGATCTCTTAAATTATTTGTGGAAACAGACTCCTTTTTAAAAAATTGAGATTTAAATCTGTATGCATTTTCTACAGGTACCATAACAAAATACCACAAGACAACTCACTTTAACAACAGAAACTTATTTTCTCACAGTGCTGAGAGCTCAAAGTCCAAAAATCAAGGTGTTGGTAGGGCCATGCTTCTTCCAAAACCTTTAGGGGAGGATCCTTTCTTACTTCTTCTGGCTTATGATAGCTCCAGGCATTCCTTGGATTGTGGCAACATAACTGCAATCTCTGCTTCATCTTCACATGACTGTTTTCTCTCCGTGTCTGCGTGTTTGTGTCTTCACATGGAGTTTTCCTCTTTTTACAAGAACTTGAGTCAGACTGGATTAAGGGCCTGCTCTACCCCAGTATGTCTTCGTCTTAACTATTAGTATTTACATCTGCAATGATCCTTTTTTCAAATAAGATCTCATTCTGAGATATTGGGGGACAATTCAACCCATAACAAATTAACATGCTATAAAATTCATCCTTTTAAAGTGTACTATTCAGTGTTTTCATTATGTTCACAAGGCTGGGCAACCATCACCACAATCTAATCCTGGACATTTTCTTCATTCCAAAAAGAAACCCTTATCCATTAGCAGTCACCTCCCATTCCTCCCTCCCCAACCCCTGGCAACTACTAATCTAATTTCTGTCTGCATGAATTTCTTTATTCATAGGTATTTCATATAAATGTAATCATAGAATAAGAAGCCTTTTATGTCTGACTTCTTTCATTTAGTGTATTGTTCTTAAGGTTCATCTATATTGGAGCATGTATCAGTACTTCATTCTTTTTTTTTTTGAGACAGTCTCACTCTGTCACCCAGGCTAGAGTGCTGTGGTGTCAGCCTAGCTCACAGGAACCTCAGACTTCTGGGCTCAAACGATCCTCCTGCCTCAGCCTCCTGAGTAGCTGGGACTACAGGCATGCGCCACCATGCCCAGCTAATTTTTTCTGTATATTTTTAGTTAGCCAATTAATTTCTATTTCTAGTAGAGACGGAGTATCGCTCTTGCTCAGGCTGGTTTTGAACTCCTGACCTTGAGTGATCCACCTGCCTCAGCCTCCCAGAGTGTTAGGATTACAGGCAAGGGCCACCGTGCCTGGCCAAGAGTTCTTGATATATTCTGGATACTAGACTCTTATTGGATAAATGATCTGCACAATTCTCCCTCCACTTCTGTAGGTTGTCTTTTCACTTTCTTGATGGTGTTCTTTGAAGCATGAAAGTTTTTAATTTTGAATTCCAGTTCATCCACTTTTTCTTTTATCACTTGTGCTTTATGTGTCGTATCTAAGTTACCACTGCCAAATCCAAGTTCACAAAGATTTACATCTATGTTTTCTTCTAAGAGTTTTATAGTTTCAGCTTACATTTAGGTTTTTTATCCATTTTCAGTTAACTTTTGTATATGGTGTGAATTAAGGTCCAACTTCATTTTTTTGCATGGTGCTGCTACCCAGTTGTCCCACCATGTAACTGACTTCTTGATAAATATCTCAGTTGAAATCTGCTTGAGCAAATAACAATAAATCATGTATTTGATGAAGAAGAGAGACTGCAATGTTAACTGCAATACTGAGTTTGGAATTCAGGAATTAGGACACTGTAGTGAGTTAAATGATGATCCCCAAAGAGCTATGTCCATGTTCCAAAACCTATGAATATGATTTTATTTGGAAAAAAGTCCTTTGCAAATATAATTAAGGGTCTCAATATTAGCTCATCATGGATTATCTGGGTGGGCCCTAAATCCAGTGAAAAGTGTCCTTGTAAGAGACATACAGAAAAGATATGGAGAAGGCCACTTGAAGATGAAGGCAGAAATTAGGGTTATGCAGCTACAAGCCAAGGAATGCCGGAAACATCAGAAGCTAAAAGAAGCAAGGAAGCATTCTTCCCTAGAGCCTTTGGAGGGAGTAGAGCTCTTGATTTCAGACTTGTGGCCTCCAGAACTGTGAGAAAATAAAATTTTAATTATTTCAAGTCACCAAATTTGTGGTAGTTTGTTACAGTAGTCCTAGGAAATATAGGCACTTTTAAATGATTAGAGGAAAGATGATTATGACACTCATATAATGAGATATGCTAGACAGGTTATCAAGGAAAAACAATGGAAATTCCTAATCTTTTAAAATAGAATGAATTGTTCTAAATGTGTCTGCCTAGAGACAGGTTCTGGAGTGATTTCTGGAAGTTCCAGTACTATGTTAAGAATATAAATCAGGCCGGGCGCGGTGGCTCAAGCCTGTAATCCTAGCACTCTGGGAGGCCGAGGCGGGCGGATTGCTCGAGGTCAGGAGTTCGAAACCAGCCTGAGCAAGAGCAAGACCCCGTCTCTACTATAAATACAAAAGAAATTAATTGGCCAACTAATATATATATATATAAAATTAGCCGGGCATGGTGGCGCATGCCTGTAGTCCCAGCTACTCGGGAGGCTGAGGCAGAAGGATTGCTTGAGCCCAGGAGTTTGAGGTTGCTGTGAGCTAGGCTGACGCCACGGCACTCACTCTAGCCTGTGCAACAAAGTGAGACTCTGTCTCAAAAAAAAAAAAAAAAAAAAAGAATATAAATCAAACAAGAAACACATTCATCTTGTAGGAAATTCTACAAATGTCTTTATACAACACTGAAAAATCAGAATGGCCACATCATTATCAATGAAAAGAGAAAGCATTTGCAATGAACACTGCAGCAAATGACAGTAACTACAGTTGACTGGGGAATAGGAGGTAGATGGTCTAACCACTTCTCATGTGGTGATGACTCACAACTGGTCTGTTGACCACTGAAATAACAGCATTTCCATAATTACACAAATCTATTTTTAAGAAGCTTTTGTGTTTAAACAAAGGCCCAGATAATGTGTTTCTAGTACTTGACATTACTAGGGAGGAAAAAAGGGGGAAGCCCAGTTTGCTCACGCAGTTCAAGGAGT